TTTTTTTTTTTTTTTTTGAGGGGGTCTTGCTCTGCTGCCTCGGCTAAAGTGCAGTGGCCCGATCACCGCTCACTGCAGCCTCAACCTCCCAGGCTCAAACGATCCCTCCCACTTCAGCCTCCGGAGTAGCTAGGACTACAGGTGTGTGCCACCACACCTGGCTGTGGTCTCACTATGTTGCCCAGGCTGGTCTCAAACTCCTGAGTTCAAGCCTCCCAAAGTGCTGGGATTACAAGCATGAGCCACCATGCCCAGCCCAACTCTTTATTCTACTAGGAACTAAAACTCCCAGGAATTATGACTTTCATTTTCAGGGACCCTCCCCTCCACAAACACACTCTCACTTATTACCCCAATACATAGGGAATATCGGCAGTTCCATATAAAACATATACTCAATAAGCACTTGCCAAAATAACCAACTACAAAGAAAGCCTTTCTTGGAGAGAGTAAAGAGATGAAGGAACCACCGGTTGTCTTAAATATTTATCTCCTTAGTATATTTAAATAGAGTTCTTTCAAACAAATATATTAAAGATGATGAATGCTAAGCATGAGAAGGTAGTGGGGTGCCTTCATTTTTTATGATACAAAAATATGTATGTGGTTGTATCAAACAGACAATCAAAAATATTTCAGACATCCCAATGCATTTTAACCAACATTACAAAGATGACTTCTGAGTTAAAAAAAAAAAAATCCAATGTATTCTTGAAAAAAAAAAAGCCTTCTCTAACAATATTGTTCTATTCATGTCAATTTCCAGGCCAGTCATGCCCATACAATCCCTTCTTGAGCTACACAGAAACTGTGGCCTTTCTTTCTTTCTGGCTTCATCTTATTAATGGTTGTTGGCAATAGACGTTGGAAATAGATGCTCGGTGCCCCAAAGAAAAATTAGCACTGAGACAAAGGATCTTTCAGCAACACAATTTTTACTTCCTGGACTGCAGGAAGGGTACTCTCACTAGCCATCTTGCCATGAGAGTACAAAGAATAAAGGAAAACACACAAATTTATCCCTTATGCGTTTGGGGTTGTCCTTACTGCTGTGCCTGATCTCCGTTGGCTGGAGCCAGACCTCACAATCTAAACTAAAACCCAATTGGCTAACAACTTAAAACTTTTCTAAACAGGTAAAAGCAATGGAGAGCTGGAACATGCCTGTAATCACATCAGCACAGACATCTTAGCTAAAGTATAAGGACATAGAGTGTACTACATGCCTGTAAGCATGGCATGTTTACCAGCTACATAGGATAGGGCTGACAAAGAGCTGCTAGCACACTTCTCTTTTTTTAACAAGAAAGGAAACTTTAAAAAGGAACTTTTCTACTTCCGACACATCTAATCCAAAGGCAGCATTTACTAGCCAGACACCTATGAGCTAAAATGCAAAGCTTTACCCTAAGAAAAATAATAGCTAACACTTGAGCTACTCAATTCTCTATGTCTTTCTCCCGTTTCTCTATCTCTCTATTCACCTTCTCGAATTTAAACTTGAAAATTCAGAGCATACAAAAAGATAGCAAGAAGAGAAGTTATAACATTGAGTCTGCACGATGAAGAATCATGGCAAACTAAAGGCAGGTGGAAGAAGAAACTGCAAGAAAAATAAAAGGCATCCAGATTGGAGAGAAAGAAGTAAAACCACCTCTGTTCAAAGATGGCATGATCCTACAAATAGAAAAATCTCACAGACTCCACTACAAAATTAATTAGAACTAATAAAAAAATTCAGCAGGTTTGCAGGATACAAGATCAACCTACAAAAATCAGTTGTAGCTGGGCATTCATGTAATCCCAGCACTTTGGGAGGCTGAGATGAGTGGATCACCTGAGGTCAGAAGTTCAAGACCAGCCTGGCCAACATAGTGACATCCCATCTCTACTAAAAATACAAGAATTAGCCAGGAGTGGTGGTGGGCACCTGTAATTCC